CATAACCAGTGTCATAAAACAAGCTTTAACAAATTTGAAAGTACCAACATAACACAAAGCATATTTTGTGACCTTAATGGAGATGTTTTTATTGTTGAAGTTCACCTGATTTTATCAGGAATGATAATTGAAGACACATACTGCCATGAAAGAAAGCTCACCTTTATTTGATGATTGACATCATCAAATAAAGAAACTGAATATGGAATTATGCATAATAATTTGTTTTGGACTACACTATAAAATGCTATGAGAGTTCATGAGTGGTGTGACAGCTTTGAAGAGATGAATGCCAAGTTGCAGTCAAGGCTAAAGGAATTATTGCATGTAGATGCTTCCAAGCTGGAATCATTAGCAGCAAAAAGCAAGCACTGGGACTTCCGGTCAAGATGGCGGAATAGACGGTCCCTAGCATCACTCTCTCCCACAAATCAACCAATTTAAACTATAAAAACATAACATCAAGTGCCTATGGAACAGGGAGACGTCCAGCGGGGAAGGCAGAAGCTCCGCGGAGACCACATGCCCTGCAGGGCCGCCATCACACGAACCGGCAGATAAGCTTCACCGCCACCACCAGGCTCCATTCCCAGCCCAGCCCAGTAAGCACAGAGTGGGGAGACATCTCGCAAGGGAGGCGGAGGCTCTGCAGAAACCACACACAATGTGGGGCCACCAGTGCATGATCCAGCAGGTAGGCTTCACCGCAGGCACCCGGCTCCATTCCCAGTCCGGCCTAGTGCGTTTGGAGAAGGGAGACGTCTGGCAGAGGAGGCAGGAACTGCACGGGGACCACACTGCTGCTGTGCAACCCAGCAGCCTGGCCCAATGTGTATGGAGCACAGAGACATCTAGCAAGGGAGACAGAAGCTCCATAGAGTCCACACACCCTGTGGGGGGGCCGCCGCGTGATCCAGCAGCAGGTAGGCTTCACCACGGCCACCCGGCTCCATCCCAAGCCCGGCCTAGCACGCGCAGAGCAGGGAGACATCCTGCAAGGGAAGGGGAAGCTCTGCAGAGACCACACCCTCTGCGGTGCCTCAGCGCATCCCAGCAGCCCGGGCCAGAGTGCACGGAACAGCAGAAGTCCAGCACGGGAGGTGGAAGCTCAGCAGAGACCACACACCCTGCGGTACCGCCCCGTGATCCAGCATTCCAGCAGAGTCCAAGCTGACCAGAGAGGTGGCTCCCCGGAGAGGCCCAAGACCTGAGGCAACCACACACGCAAGGCACTAGTGGCCAAATGAGCAGTCACTGAGATAGCCATACCAAATTGGCAACCACAGCAACATCTTAGTCAGGCAATAGTGTCAAACCTGGGGACTGTGAAACCCCCAGCCACAATGAATAAACATCAAAGAAAAGATACCAGAAATACGAAAAATCAAGAAAGTACACCACCAAAGGATAATAACTCTCAAGCTCTAGATCCTATAGAACAAGAAGCCCTTGAAATGACTGACAAGGAATTTCGAGTGATAATTCTAAGGAAACTGAATGAGATACATGAAAACTCAGCTAGACATCATAATGAAACGAGGAAAAGTATACAGGACCTGAAAGAGGAAATATACAAGGAAATCAATGTTCTGAAAAAAAAAATGTAGCAGAACTTGCCTAACTGAAGAAGTTATTCAGCGAAATAAAAAACACAATAGACAGTTTAACCAGCAGGCTTGCGGAAGTTGAAGAGAGAACCTCTGAACTTGAAGATGGGCTGTTTGAAATAAGACAAGCAGACAAAAAAAAAAAAAAAAGAAAGAAAGAAGAATCAAAGGCATTGAAGAAAATATGAGAGAGATATCAGACAACTTTAAGTGCTCAAATATCCGAGTCATGGGTATTCCAAAAGGGGAGGAAAAAGGAGATTGCATTGAAAACATATTCAACAAAATAGTGGCAGAAAACTTCCCAGGTATAGGAAAAATCACAGATCTTCAGATCCCAGGAGCTCAATGATCTCCAAACATATTCAACCCAAAAAGGTCTTCTCCAAGACATGTTATAGTCAAATTGGCAAAACTCAAAGACAAAGAGAGAATCTTAAAAGCTGCAAGAGAGAAGCGTCAAATCACCTGTAAGGGAGCCCCCATCAGGGGCATATTATAGTCAAAATGACTAAACTCAAGGACAAAGAGAGAATCTTGAAAGCTGCAAGAGAGAAGCGCCAAATCACCTATAAGGGGGCTCCAATCAGGTTAACGTCAGACTTCTCAACACAAACCCTAAAGGCTAGAAGGGAATGGGATGATATATTCAAAATACTAAAAGACAAAGATTGCCAGCCAAGAATACTCTACCCTGCAAGGCTGTCCTTCCGAAATGAAGGGCAAATAGTATATTTCTCAGACAAACAAAAACTGTGGGAGTTCACCACCACACGACCACCCTTACAAGAAATTCTCAAGGGAGTACTGGGTTTGGTTCCTGAAAAATAACTACCTCTACCATAAAAACCCAAGAAAAATCAAAACCCACTTTGTATAATAAAAATGGAATTCATGAAGAGGAAACAAACAAATAAAAAGGCTATCTACAACCCAAAGAACCAACAAACACAGAAAACAAACAGTAAATCAGAAAGCAAGGAACAAAAGACACCTAAGACAACCAAACAACAATCAATAAAATGCTAGGAATAAATCAACAGTTTTCAATACCAACTCTTAATATAAAAGGCTTAAATTCCCCAATCAAAAGACACAGACTGGCTGACTGGATGAGAAAGGAGGACCCAACTATATGCTGCCTTCAAGAGACCCACCTCACCCATAAAGACTCACATCGACTAAGAGTGAAAGGATGGAAAAAGATTTACCATGCAAACAGAAAAGAAAAACGAGCTGGAATAGCTATTCTCATATCTGACAAAATAGAGTTTAAACTAAAAACCATAAAGAGAGACAATGAGGGACACTACGTAATGATAAAAGGACTAATCCATCAAGAAGACATAACAATCATGAATATGTATGCACCCAATGGTGGAGCAGCCAGATTTATAAAACAAACCCTATTAGGCCTAAAGAAGGAAATAGACACTAATACCATAATA